GGGAGGGGCAGAGAGAGAGAGAGACACTCAGAGACAGAGGGAGACACTGAGAGACAGCGAGAGAGAGAGAGAGAGAGAGCGAGAGAGTGTCCTATCGATTCCGATATGTTGCTGGAGTTGATGTGTGTGTGAGATTTGCTGGATTTCAAGAACGCTACAGCACTGTTGCCCCACCTCTCGCGCAGTGCCCGCCGCAGCCACCAGTGCACAAGACACCATGCGTTCTAGGTTAAGCATCTTTGTTCTTTTGTCTCTCGCATTTGGCATGGCTGGATCGCAGACCTTGCCCAAGAAATGGCGGGAGGCGGTGAGCAGCACAATGAATCTTGGCGGTCGTTGGGGCAATGTTTTCGGTTTGTCTGGGTAAAACCTGAACTCCCTTTTGCAGGAAACCCACCCCGCTGTGGCCACGTGACCATGCCCACAGGAACGATGACGAGTGCAACTACAACTTGAAGAAGCTCATCGAGGTGCAGATTGACAGCGAAATGCTTCAGAAAACGAATGATCACATGAGTTTGTTGGCCTTGGCTAGCGACTTGCAGCAACATCGCCGTTTGCCGGGTCTCCCCAAGGACTTGTCTGACCTTCTGGACAAAAAAGCCAAGGGCATCGGCAAGTTAGCCCAGACTCAAACGGAGGCCCAGATGACGCAGACGTTGATGAACTCATTGCGGCGTTGACGGTTTTGAGCTGCCCTCAACAGAACCTTTTCCACCGACGCGGCTGCTGTTGCCAAGTTTTGTCCGGACATGGACCACCAAGACATGATACCCACATGATCACTCTGTGATTGTGACTACGTTTCGCAGCACAGTCCGCGTCCGTTCCCAATTTTAAGGGAGCTCAGGAAGCAGCCATCTGAATAATCGGTTGGGTCAACCGTCAAAGAAGGTTTAGAATTAACGGAATTCGAATAGAAATATGAGAAAGAAGATCTAATAGTCTCATCAATAATCTCGAAAGAAACATTTCATAATATAGATTATGATCTTCGTTAATATTTCTAAGATTTTTTGAATCTATCATATATATATATATTCTAAATATTTATTTATAAAATATATTCCTTTTATAATAAAATATGAATTCATTGCGGTTCTGGATAGAAAATGAATTTATTTATACTTAAATTAAAACAATGGAGATTTAATTCAAATAGAGATTTAAATATTTAAATAGAAATATGGATTTATTCTAGAAATGATTTCTTTTGATTTATAGTTTTAATATCTTCTCTATTTTAATTTAAGGTTTCGGGATATTGATATGGTCGACAAGATATGATCTCTCTTCATAATTTGCTCGTATTGTAGTGGCCTATCGTAACCTATTTGTATTTTAGTGGCCTAGGTAGATGAAGTAATGTCATTGGTATTGATATTGATAGAGATATCTGAGAAAATTTCTATTAAATAGGATATCGAATAATTCTTAGGTTGTCGAATTTATATACCGAGAAGAGGATCCGAAAAAATAAAAGGATTCGATTATCTTATAAATTTCGATAAGATCTATATTTAGATTATATTAAATTAGAAGATATTTCATAAAAATACTATTTTCTTAGAATGATCGATAATTCTGATTTAGTTTAAATTTTTGATATTTATACGATTTCAATATTTCTATTAAATATATTTATTTATTATTAGATAGCTTTAGCTTGATTTGAATAGAATATTTTGCTTGCACGGAAAATTTAAATGAATCTCTTAATCTATCTATAGATTTTCATTATATTAAATAATAATCTATTATATATATCTGCAACATTCTCTTGCTTATAAGCACGAAATCTCACGAGGTCGAAATCTAGATTTCTAGAGTTAATCTTATAGATTCGAAATATTGAAATAATAAATTTGAAGAGTAGAATAATCTTCTCATAAATTTATCTAAGAATTTAATGCTCTATATATTAATTTTGATTTGCCGAAGAAAATAATTTATAATTATTCTAAGTTTGAGGATATTATATTTGATTATTTTATTTTTCTGATCTCAGGCTCTTATCTGGTCTTTGATATCTCTCTTCTGGTTTCTGGCTCTTATTTGACCTTTGATCTTTTATATTTATTTTATATCTATTTTTTGATTTCTGGCTCTTATTTGTCTTTTGGCCTCTGATTTTTTTAAATCTGCCTTCTGATTTCTGGCTCTTATTTGGCCTTTGGCCCCTAATTGTATATCTCTGCCTTCTGGTTTCTGGATATTATTTAGTCTTTGGCCCCTGATTTTTTTATCTCTGCCTTCTAATTTCTGGCTCTTATTTGGCTTTTGATCCCTTTGACTTTGATCTCTGTTTTCTGTATTCTGGCTCTTTCTTAGTTGGCTTTTGACCCCTCTAATTTTTGATCTCTGCCTTCTGATATCTGGTTCTTATTCGGTCTTTTTTTTAATTTATTGTCTGGGAGATTATCTCGAGCCTTTAATATCTAGTTTTAAATATTTGGCTTTTAGTAGCGACGAATAAATAGAAAGAAATCAAAATAAAAAAAAATAAATCAATTATTCTTTTTTTCAATTTTTCAAAAAATATTTTGAAAATTGTTTATATATATATATAAATTATATAT